CTGTGGTCTGTGTCCGGGGTGTTACACAGGAGACATCCTACAGCTTTGGGGTGGGGGCATCCCATCAGGAGTCTCAGGGCATGTTTGTTTGTTTTGAGGGGGTTTGGGAGCTTGGCCACCTGGTCTGGGTAGGAGGCACCCTGGGTGTTTGGGCGGCAGACAAGGCAACCCTGGGGGAGGGGGTGGGGATCCTCACCCCACCCTACCCTTGCTCTTGGCCGGGCTGCCCCACTCTGGCAGGCTGCCGGCCTCCTATTTCCGTCGGGCACCAGGGTAACAGGGCCACATTAGGGTCTGAGCCAGGAGACACCCAGCCAAGGCTGGGACTGGGGAGTGGGGGAGGGTCTCTAAAGACTCATCTGCAGGGCCCAGCAGAGCCTCTGGGGCCCAAGCCTCCCACTCAGGCTGTGCTAGTCCCCACATCCCCACACAAGCCCGTGTGGGGGTCCACAACCCTGCTTTGTACAAGCTGTTTGAGTCACATAGCCCCAACCCCCCCAAAGTCCCAGGAGTTGTCTGCGACTGTGAGGGCTGGGGTAGAAGCCAGAGACAGGAGCCTTGTGTATGGGGAGGCAGGGGGGCCAGCGCGGGTGGCTGGGAGGAAGAGTCCCCCCCATTCCTGCTGCCCTCTTGGCAGTGATTCAGAAAGGTCCTTTTTCGGCCAGTGTCGGAGCTGCTCAGCTGGGGGGGGAGGGAGGGAGGGAGGGAGGGAGGCAGGAGGGAGGGCAGGCAGGCAGTCGGGTGGGGAAGCTGGGGAGTAGGGCTGGACTGTTACCACTGCCCTGGAGGGAAGACAGAAACAGGACAGAGGATCCCGGCTGCAGCCGGCGTGAGGAAAGCTCCTCCGCTCCCTGCCAGACTGGCCAGCTGTGGAAACCCAGCCGGGCTTGCAGCAGAGCACAGGGGCCCAGCCCGTTCTTCCGCATTTCCCACCCCTGGTGTGGGATTTGGGGGGCTCCTGGGCGGAGTGTGAAGCTCATAGCCGAGGCCCCTGCTCACCCGCTTCCTGGGCCGGATCCCCAGTGACTGTTCTGGGGGTCCTGCTCCGTGGAGATGCCGGCGGCACGTCGGTTCCCTGGCCTGGAGCTCTCCTTCCCTCTCCTGGCCAGACTGCGGCGACGGCTGTACACAGTGAGTGGGGTGCAGGGGTTGGACTGCTGGGGACTGTTGGGGCTCCTCACACCAGCAGTTGACTGAGAGGCAGACAGCAGGACTGGGAGCGGCTGAGGGACCCCGCCAGTGAGGGCTCGGCAGGGGGTCCGGGCCAAGTGGCCTCCCCTGTGGCTGCTGCGTTCATTCTGGTTGGCCTGTGTGTTTGCACGCCAGCCACGGAGTAATGACGGACACAGGTGTGCAGACTCTGCGAGGTGCTGGGGGCCAGGCCCGTGCAGAATTGGAGAGTGTTTGAACTCCGGATGAGCTGCAGCCATGCCCTGTGCTGTGCGAAGAACCTTGGGCTGGGGGGGACTTAGAGGGGAGGCGGACCCCTGCAGAGTCACCCTGGACTGAGACCCTGACTGCTTCCCTCTGGGATGCCGGAGTTCCTTCCCGTCCTCCCACACGCATCCCCGGTGCAGAGCGGCGCTGGTCCTGGTCCGGGAGCGCCGAGGGGAGTGCACGGCTGAGCAGACGTGTGTCAGCTGGTGGTTCAGGGAGAGGGAACAGGCCGGGCTGTGCTTTCTGAAGAGCTTCAGGGGAGGGGCCTCTGGGTCTCCTCCAGCCCTGACCACCCAGGGCATGGCTTTGAGCTGTTTTCAGGAGCCTGGAGGAGGGGCCTGGATCCTTGGGAGTTGGTGGTGGGAGGAAGAAGAGGGGGCCTGGAGACTGCCTGCCCTGCGGGAGACTGGGATCCCCCATCCTGAGGCTGAGCCCTGGAGGGGATGGGGTCACTTTGCCCCAGGGACAGGGCAGCATTGGCCGGGCCGTGGCCGGGCGGAGGGGGCTGCTGCCCAGGCCAGTGCCTCCCAGTGCACCTCTGGACTGGCTTCTGGAAAGCACCGGCACCTGGTCCTCTTAAACCCCACGTCCCTTTTTTTGTAAACAGATGATTCTGTTGAGGATAAATTAATTAATACAGCTTAATACTTAGAACTGTTTCTCGTATATAGTAAGTGCGGTTGAAGTGTTGGATATTAATTTAGTTTAGTTTAGTTTGAGATGGAGTTTTGCTCTTGTTGTCCAGGCTGGAGTGCAATGGCACAGTCTTGGCTCACCACAGCCCCTGCCTCCCAGGTTCAAGTGATTCTCCTGCCTCGACCTCCCGAGTAGCTGGGATTACAGGCACGCACCACCACACCTGGCTAGTTTTGTGTTTTTAGTAGAAACTGGGTTTCTCCGTGTTGGTCGGGCTGATTTTGAACTCAGGTGATCTGCCTGCCTCAGCCTCTCTAAGTGCCAGGATTACAAGTGTGAGCCACCGCGCTCAGCCTAGATGTTATTTTAATTGTTACTCGTCTTAAATAAAATGAATAGAAATATGTAACCTGTTATGTTAACCTGTTAACCTGCGTACAGTGAAACAATACAGTGGGAACTGTAGTGTAAAGAGACATAAGAAGAAGCTAATTATAACATATTTTATGTATCTTAATACATTAGTAATCTAGACAATGTAATGAGGAGTCCGCTCCTGAGACCTCAGGCAGAAACACCGTGAAGGCAGCATCTGCAAGTGCTGACCAAGAGACGAGTTTTGAAATAATGAGAGAGGGTTGCCTTCACTGACATTTTTGCAAATAGTGGACTTCTGCTATGTTCTGAATAAAGCAAAGTCCATTTTCCCTTAAGTTTACGCAGTAGTTTCATTCCAGGAAAATTCATTTTGTATTAAAACCGTAAGGCCAGGAGCGGTGGCTCACACCGGTAATCCCACCACTTTGGGAGGCCAAGGCAGGTGGATCACTTGAAGTCGGGAGTTCAAGACCAGCCTGGCAAACATGAAGGAACCCTGTCTCTACTAAAAATACACAAATTAGCCGGGTGAGGTGGCAGGTGCCTGTAATCCCAGCTTCTCGGGAGACTGAGGCGAGAGAATTGCCTGAACCCCGGAGGCACAGTTTGCAGTGAGCCAAGATGGCATCATTGTACTCCAGCCTGAGTGACAGAGTGAGGTCGTGTCTCAAAAAAAAAAAAAAAAAAAACGGTAAAACTACTTTCTTGTTTATACATAAAGTGGGATTAGATTCTAGATTTTCATGATCATAAACACCTTCATGAATTGAGTTGTGTGGGATTTGGGACAGTGCGAGAATGTCCTATGCATTGCAGGCCAGCTCAGGTTCTTGTCCCCCAACCACCCTCAAATGTCATGACAATCAAAAGTGTCCCGTAGGGGTCTGCGCAGCCCTCGTGAGAACCATCCAGTAAAGGGTTACGGCTTTAAGTTCGGAAACCACCCGGCCGGCCCAGCTGCCTGGCCCAGTCGCCATGAGGGAAGAGCCAGGACTTGAACTGAGCGTTTCTCATTCCCCTTTGTTACTCTTTGTACTTCCCTGAGCTGCCTGAGAAAGTCGGAACTGGCACTGTGTTGGCAGGGCCACTGGGAACTGTGGGGGCAGGAGGCTCACGCTGGGCCCGGGCTGTGTGTGCCTGCTTCTCCGAGTGCTGCTCACTGTGATGGGAGCTGGGGAGGAGGCCACCGCTGAGTTGGGGAGGGGGATGGCTTGGTCCCCAGCCAGGCAGCTGGCCTTTTTTCTCTTGCCTGTTTGCCTCTTTGGGGATTGAGCATGGGTCAGGGGCTAGCCTGGCCACGCCCTCGGCTCTGAACGACCTTCCTCAGTCAGGGGTGGGTTTGCTGTACGGTGACAGAGCTTCCTCAGACGGGTGGGTTTGCTGTGCAGTGGATCGCTTGCTTAGCTTTGAAGTTTCCACCAGCTGCTTTATCTGGGCCCAGGAGAGTGTAGGTTAGTGGTCACTCACCTGCCCATTGGCTGATTGCGGCCTGCAGTGTGCTTTGGCTGGCACGTTGTGTGCGTGTGCTTGCATTTCAGATTTGAACTATTCAGCATTGTTAAAAAGTCAGGAGAAAGACGAGTATTAAGTGAAATCAGGGAACAGAATGGTATGGTTAATGCGTGGATATCTGTGTAGGGACGACAGAGTCTGAAGGGTCCGCAGAAGACGTCACTGGCAGCTCCTGGGAAGCTGGTGGCCGTGCAGTTGTGGGGGGAATGAGATTCGTGGGTCTGTGTGCCTTCTGAATATTTACCATGTGCAGATATTATCTTTTCCAAACAAACTTTAATGGTGAGATTTCACACGTAACTTCAGATTTCTTTTATTTCTTGAAGAAATGGAAAGCTTTGACAACACTGGGTCACAGTCTCTTGTGACAACCATTGGTGGGATCTGAGTTCCCTGTTGACAGGGGTGTCCGCAAGCCCGCTCCAGGCCCCACCCCTCCCTCTTGTCTTCTGCTTGCCGTGGCCCTGTGGGCACTTGGGTGGTGGCCCATGGAGTGGTCTTTGGATTGTTAGGAGAGGCTGGGTGGTCAGGCATTGGGAGGAGCTTAGCTCAGAGCTCGTCTGGCCCTGAGAGTTTTCTCCGTCACATCTGAGGAGCCCATAGGTGGGTCTCAGGGCACACTGCACCCTGCAGATACTTTTATCACACGTTAGGGGTAAGAACACCTCGATGTTCCCAGAGAGACCATTGTTAGTTTTTAAAAGGTTTTCAAGGGCTTTTGACCCCTGGAGACTTAGAGCGGGGGAGGAACGTGAGCACAGACGGGTGATCTGGGTCGTTCAGCCACGGATCACAGATTTCTCCTGACTGCAGGCCGGGGCTGTGTCTCTGCCGCCCTCGCTGTGCCCTGTGGCTGGCAGGAATGGGGTACGTGGGTCCAGGAGGCTCTCAGTAGCTCCTGTTGGGAGTTAGAAGGTGGTGTGAGCCCTTCCAGGTGGCAGTGTAGTGGGATGAAGGTGAGCCCAGGTCACTCGGGCAGGCCCCCTGTTGTCCCCCGCCACGACCCTTGTCCCTGAGCCACTCTTCCCTCCCCACAGAGGCTGGGAGGCGGCAGCATGCAGCCGGAGGAGGGCACAGGCTGGCTGCTGGAGCTGCTGTCCGAGGTGCAGCTGCAACAGTACTTCCTGCGGCTCCGAGATGACCTCAATGTCACCCGCCTGTCCCACTTTGAGTACGTCAAGAATGAGGACCTGGAGAAGATTGGCATGGGCCGGCCTGGTAGGTGGGATGCTGACTTGACTTGTCTTACCCCTGACCGTTTACATCCTCTGTCCTCAGGACCACTGACTGCATGGGTGGCAGCTGAGAACTCTGTCCCAGAGCCTGAGGCGGCGCGGGCTGAGGACTGTGTCTGTCCCAGAGCCTGAGGCGGCGCGGGCTGAGGACTGTGTCTGTCCCAGGGCCCTGAGGCGCGAGCTGAGACTGTGTCTGTCCAGGGCACAGGCGGCGCAGTATTGAGACATGTCTGTCCCAGGAGCCCTGAGGCGCGCGCGGGCTGAGATTCTGTCCCAGGGCCCTGAGGCGGCGCGGGCTGAGGACTGTGTCTGTCGCAGAGCCTGAGGCGGCGCGGGCTGAGGACTGTGTCTGTCCCAGAGCCTGAGGCGGCGCAGGAAGGACATCAGTAGGTGTTGATGTGTGATGAGAACAGTTGGCAGTTGTAAAGGTGAATTAGAGTTTGAGGAGAGTGAGGCCTTCCGAAAGCCGGCTACACAGGAGTCACTCCATGCCCCGTTCTGTTTGTTCTTACATAGAGAGTATGTCCTTGATCGCCTCTCCTTCATAAGCATCAAATTGAGTCTGTTCTCATCATTCTGAACACGGGGTGGTGGGGGGTCCACGTCCAGAGATCCGTAGGGAGAACGGTAACTCTCAGATGGTTTGCTGATTCCCGCTAGCGCGCTCTTTCTGTTTCATACGCACATGCATATACGCACGTGCACATACATGCGCACACACACATAAGCATGCACACACGCACACATGCACACACACACAAGCATGCACACATGCACACACACAAGCATGCACACGCACACACATGCACAAACACGTACACATGTGCACGTGCGCACAGGACACAGATGCACGCACGCACATATATGCATGCACACTCGCACACATGCACACGCACACATGCATACACACACAAGCATGCACACACGCATGCATGCACACGCACGCACAAGCATGCACACACGCATGCATGCACACGCACGCACAAGCATGCACACGCATGCACACATGCACAAACACATGCACGCACACACACGCACATGCACAGACGCACACACGTGCACAAACAGGTTTGCTCTGATTTGAGCTCAACCCTTCGTATTCTTCCTAAAAGTGGGGGTTGTGGCATCTAAAAGTCGTGATGTTCTTCATAGAACGTTAGAAACGTATTAGGGCATTCAAGTTAAAATAGCTTAATAGGTAGTCATGTGCTGAGTTAGACACTGACTTATGCTACTTTTGGCCTGGATAGTTGGTGTCTGATGCCAGTAGCATAACAAAATTTTATGGAGGGAAGAAAACCTCAACATTGAGAAAATTCTGTTCATTACCTTGATTTTTTCCTGAGAACTGGGAGAAGCCCACCACTTCAAGTTTTTGGTTAAACACCTTCACCCAGTTTGAGAGCCAGTGCCGGGAAGTGGAGTGCAGAGACCGTCTGGTCAGTTGAAGCTCCCGGTTAGTTGGGGTTGATTTCATTGGTATCATTGTGCTGAGTGGTGTCCAGTGGCAGACTCGCCCGCGAGGGGACCATAGGCAGCAGCCTCTCTCGGGTTTGAGCTGCCTTCACAGCGCTGTGTTCCCCACCCTCCCTGCAGGCCAGCGGCGGCTGTGGGAGGCTGTGAAGAGGAGGAAGGCCTTGTGCAAACGCAAGTCGTGGATGAGTAAGGTGGGTGAGGAGGTGGAAGGGTGGCAGCCTCGAATGCCCCCTACTGCTTCCAGTCCTGGGAACCTTCCCCAACTCCCCAGCAGGTCGAATCTCGCCATTCCGCCGGCACTTTGTACAGAACCCCTGCATCCAGGGTCTTATCGGGCAGGGCACTTGTAGAGCTGCCGGGCTAAGTGTCTGTCTCCGCCAGATATGGACACGCAGGCAGCCTGTGTGTGGTGAGGCCTTCACAGCCCCTCTCAGCGCCTGGAACAGGAGCTCACTGACAAGTGTGTGCCTTAACTTAGCCCTGCTGTGTCTGAGCGATGGGGCCAGTGTCCAGCGTGGGGCGGTGGACCTGTCTGGACCCAGAACATCTTCACTTGGCTTCCCTCCTCCCCGACCCTCTGTAATCTCTGTGTTTCTCTGGTCATCTGTCCCTGCTGACAGCTTCCTTCCCCACAGCCTGTCCCCACCTCTCCCCACACCTTGTCCTAATTTGGGTCTGTGGTGTAGTGAGTCCCTGGTCTGACTCAGTGGAACTCTGCCCATTGTCTGGAAGACAATGAGAGAGGAAGTGAGCCAGCCGTGGCCTTTCCTCCCCACTCTGGCCTCAGGGCTGGGGTGGGGGGTGGGCAGGGCCCAACAGCTGGAGTGGGATTGGGCAGCAGAGATTTTCCTGGCTGCAATCCGGCAAAGGGGCTGTCTCTTGGGATCCTGTGGCTTTTTCTGGGAACACCCGGTCCTGGTCCTTGGCCCGGGTTTTAGGGAAGGATGAGTAGTGTCAGGCTGGTGGAGGCCGGAGAAGAGAGTGGCGTGGTTTGCCGAGATTTAGGGGTGCCGAGATTTAGGGGTGCTGAGATTTAGGGGTCTTGGATCTGCCACTGGCTCTTGATAGGTCCCTGGGCAGTCAGTGGGCTCCCGATTGTCATCTTTCGTCGTGTCTTCAGTGAAGTGATGCCGGGCCCACTGCCAAGCTCATCTCCCAGGGCTGTGGGAGGCACCAGAGATAATGACTGTAAAGGGTCTTGTAACCTGAACGTTGCTTGCAAACATAAGGAATTCTAGTTACTGTGAGGAAGCACAGAGGCCAGAAGAGGCCCTCAGATTTGAGGCACCCTAGCCCGAATGGATAAGACTCCACCAGCTTTAGGGATGTGAGACCCAAACTGGCAAGAATCTGCAGCCTGGAGCCTAGGCTGTGGGTGCCTCGGTGGAGGCTGCCAAGTCAGACCGATGTGGCCAGCTTTGACCCTCATGGCCTCCTTTCTTCTGTCCCTTGACCTTTGGCCCCCTCCCTGTCCAGTCTGGCCTCAGAGTCTCCTCCACTCTTCCTTCTGTCTCAGCCCTCCGCTCTAGTCGCCCCTCCAGAAACCCAGCTGTCTTCCCAGGCCCCTCCCCAGTTAAGGACTAGCTTCATCTGAACCACACACATACTCACGGTTCAACCTCAGACTAAAATTATCCTCTCCCCTGGGCAGGATGAAGGGCAGCCGACTCCCTAGTGAGGGTGGAGACAGACAGCACCAAATGGTCAGGCCAGAGAAGGGGCCAGGGCTAAAAATGGACAAGGAGGTGTTTGTGGAGGCCCCTGCGGCTCCTGCACCATCTACATGAGTTAGGGCTGGAGTCTGCTGGGCGGCCGGTGCAGGAAGGGAGGGTGGGGCAGGACTGGGAGGAGACTCAGACCTTGGGTGGGCAGTGCTGGGAGGGCCCTGGACTCTCCCTGTCCGCACAGCTGGGTGTGGGGCCACTGCAGCCACAGGCTGATGCCTGTTGGTCTTTTTCTGGCACCCACCTTGAGGCCAGCGTCAGGCTTTGAGTTCTGTATTTGGGGTGTGCCTGGACGGAGTGCAGCCCTCCAGCCAGGCTGCCCCACTGGCAGTTTGGCAAAGCCAGGACTTATCTGGAAGCTGAGCCAGGCATCACCAGGTGGACCCAGGAGGGTGGGACTGAGTGATCCTGGGGTGTTGGATTCCATCTGGCCCCCGGCTGCCCTCAAACAGGTGTTCAGTGGAAAGCGACTGGAGGCTGAGTTCCCCCCTCATCACTCTCAGAGCACCTTCCGGAAGACCTCGCCTGCCCCTGGGGGCCCAGCAGGGGAGGGGCCCCTGCAGAGCCTCACCTGCCTCATTGGGGAGAAGGACCTGCGCCTCCTGGAGAAGCTGGGCGATGGCTCCTTTGGCGTGGTGCGCAGGGGCGAGTGGGACGCGCCCTCAGGGAAGACGGTGAGCTCTGTGTCCTGCCGGCGCAGCAGAGGCGTGGGACCCGAGGCTGGCAGTGGCTCTTCTGCCCCCAACTGGCATGTGAATGGGACTGGGGACGCGTCACAACAGGATTTTTGGGTTTTTATTTTTTTGAGACAGAGTCTCGCTCTGTTGCCCAGGCTGGAGTGTAATGGGCACGATCTCGGCTCCCTGCAACCTCTGCCTTTTGGGTTCAAGCGATCCTCCTGCCTCAGCCTCCTGAGTAGCTGGGATTACAGGTGTGCACCACCACGCCCAGCTAGTTTTTGTCTTTTTAGTAGAGATAGGGTTTCACCATGTTGGCCAGGATGGTCTTGAACTTCTGACCTCAGGTGATCCGCCCACCTTAGCCTCCCGAAGTGCTAGGATTACAGGTGTGAGCCACCACGCCCAGCCCATGCTCAGGTTTAACTAAGCACATTTATTATTTCAACTGTAAAAATAATTTACTTATTATAAAAGTTTGGAAACTATTTGAAAAACAAGAAAAAAAAATCGCCTATAATCGCACCACTAAGAGGAAGCAGAGTTGGCATTTCTGCCTCTTCCTCCTACTTTAGGTATTTTGTCGGATTTAGTTAAGATACAAATTCTGGATACAGCTTTTAAAATCTTGTTCTTCCTGGCATTGCATTTAACATTTTCCCCTCAGGGGTAACATGTGTGCACCACAGCATACAGTTCTGGTGTGACTGTTTCCTATGCGGAAGCCATGTCCTTACTGCCCAGGTCACGTCCGGTGCATTCCTGGCACCTCAGAGGGCTCCTCATGCCCTGTCCACTCAGTGCGCCTGCGCCCTTCTCCCGGGGACGCCGCCGTCCACTCAGTGCGCCCTTCTCCCGGGGAAGCCGCTGTCCACTCAGTGCGCCCTTCTCCCAAGGAAGCCGCTGTCCACTCAGTGCGCCCTTCTCCCGAGGAAGCCGCTGTCCACTCAGTGCGCCTGCGCCCTTCTCCCGAGGAAGCCGCTGTCACTGAGCCCTTCTCTCGAGGAAGCCGCTGTCACTGAGCCCTTCTCCCGGGAAAGCCGCTGTGCCGACTTCTAGCTCCACATATTTGTTTTTGGCATTACATTTAAAGCATTTTCCTTCTACAGCAAAAGAACTTTTAATACTCCATTTTATGACCAGCCTGAGCAACATGGAGAAACCCTGTCTCTACTAAAAATACAAAATTAACCAGGCATGGTGGTGCCTGCCTGTAATCCCAGCTACTCAGGAGGCTGAGGCAGGAGAATCACTTGAATTCGGGAGGTGGAGATTGCAGTGAGCTGAGATCATGTCACTGCACTCCAGCCTGCATCTCAAAAAAAAAAAAAAATTCATTTTATAACATTTGAATATTCTCTCATCATACTGGTTATCTCTTACTTTTTGGTTGGTATTTAAGCCCAGCATTCCCTCAGGAAGGGGAGGCATGGCCGACGATGGCTCCTGAGGGCCAGCCCTCTGCCCTTCTGCAGCCAGGCCTCCTGTAGAGCATGTAAGCCCAGGCACTGGTGACGTGCTTACCCACCCAGATGAGCAGCTCGGAGGCGGAGATTGTTGAGCCAAGTTGGAGGGCAGAGCAGGTTGGCTCCGTGTGTCCGGGACCTGGCAGGTCCTGAGTCCTTGCACATCCCGCTGTGGACAGGTGAGTGTGGCTGTGAAGTGCCTGAAGCCCGACGTCCTGAGCCAGCCAGAAGCCATGGACGACTTCATCCGGGAGGTCAACGCCATGCACTCGCTCGACCACCGAAACCTCATCCGCCTCTACGGGGTGGTGCTCACGCCGCCCATGAAGATGGTGAGTGCTGTGGGCAGGAGCGGGCGGCAGGGAGAGGGCTCTGGTCCCAGATGTGTGGTGCAGTTACTCTCTCTGTCCTGAGGTCAGAGGCGCCCTAGATCCTACTTTGGTCCCCCCACCTGATGGAGTAAAGGGGTTCACAAGGGCCCAGCCTGGTCCAGGCTGTGTCTGCTGTGGTCGGGTCCGGGGCTGCCTCTGGATTTGCTGGTGCTCAGTGTCAGAGAGTTACTCCTATGGGAGGGGCTGGCTATTGAGTTTAATTTGGGGAATTTATGTTTTATTTATTTATTTATTTTGAGACAGAGTCTCGCTTTGTTGCCCAGGCTGGAGTGCACTGGCACGATCTCAGCTCACTGCAACCTCCACTTCCTGGGCTCAAGCGATTTTCCTGCCTCAGCCTCCCGAGTAGCTGGGAGTACAGCTGTGCGCTACTACGCCTGGCTAATTTTTGTATTTTTAGTAGAGAAGGGCGTTTCACCATGTTGGCCAGGCTGGTCTCAAACTCCTGACCTCAAATGATCCACCCGCCTCAGCCTCCCAAAGTGCTGGGATTACAGGCGTGAGCCACCAGGCCTGGCCAAGTTTTGGAATTTCTAGCCATTGCCTCTTTGAGCTCCTTCTCTCTGGGTATCAGTTTCCTACATTGTCTCGAGGGAGAGGCCTGAGAAACTGCAGGACTCCTAGAGGTCCCCAGACAGCAGGCCAGGAAGGAGTGTGCAGCCTGCTTCGGGAAAGCCTTCAGGAAGGGGGCTGGGGGCCCAGCGTGGGCTGCGGAGAAGGGGCAGGGTCCTCCAGCTCATTCCTCCTGCCTCCTCCGCGGCCTCAGGTGACAGAGCTGGCACCTCTGGGATCGCTGTTGGACCGGCTACGTAAGCACCAGGGCCACTTCCTCCTGGGGACTCTGAGTCGCTACGCTGTGCAGGTGGCTGAGGGCATGGGCTACCTGGAGTCCAAGCGCTTTATTCACCGTGACCTGGCTGCCCGCAATCTACTGTTGGCTACTCGAGACCTGGTCAAGATCGGGGACTTTGGGCTGATGCGAGCACTACCTCAGAATGACGACCATTACGTCATGCAGGAACATCGCAAGGTGCCCTTCGCCTGGTGAGGGGCGGGTGCTGCCAGCTCACAGAGTCCCTGCAGACCCCGGCCTCAGAGTTCTGGGGCTTTCTTGACCCACCACAGCCCCTGGTTTTGCTTGGGCCTGTCCTTGTCTGTTCTAAGCCTGGGGTGCCCTCCTTTGCGCCCATTCACTCACCATCTAGGAATTCTTGAGGGCCCGCATGCCAGGATCTGGGTGCTGGAAAGCACAGGGATAGATGCTGTGGGGCTCACCGAGGGGCATTGCCGGGTGGGCTGATCTGGGTGCTGGGAAAGCAAGCCAGGATGAGCTGTGGGGCTCACCGAGGGCATTGCCGGGTGGGGTGTTACAGATAGATGCTGGGAAGCTCACCTGAGGGGCATTGCCGGGTGGGGTGTGTTAGCAGGGATATGCTGTGGGGCTCAATGAGGGCATTGCCGGGTGGGGGTGTTACAGGGATAGATGCTGGGCTCACCGAGGGCATTGTAAAGCCGGGTGGGGTGTTACAGGGATAGATGCTGTGGCTCACCAGGGGGCATTACCGGTGGGGTGTTACAGGGATAGATGCTGTGGGGCTCTCACCGTTACTGCCGGTGGGTGTTACAGGGATAGATGCTGTGGGGCTCACCGAGAGGGGCACTGGCCGGGTGGGGTGTTACAGGATAGATGCTGTGGGCTCACCCCGAGGGGCGCTGCCGGGTGGGGTAAAGTTACAGGTGGACAGCGCGGCTCACCGAGGTGGGCGCTGGCCGGGTGGGGTGTTACAGGGATAGATGCTGTGGGGCTCACCGAGGGGCGTTGCTGGGTGGGGTGTTACAGGGATAGATGCCGTGGCCTCACCAGGGGGCATTGCTGGGTGGGGTGTTAACAGAGATAAATGCCGTGGCCTCACCCAAGGGGCATTGCTCGGTAGGGTGTTCAAAGGCTTCCTGAAATGTCAGGGGAAGTTTGCCAGGGAAAGACTCGTTGGTAAGCATGTTGTAGGTAGAGCTAGCGGTAGACAGGCCCAGGCCGCAGCAGGCCCTGTAGATGGGCCAGGGCTGCTCACCTGTGCACTGGGGGTGGTACTTGCCCTGGCCCCTCTGTGGGCTTATCCTCTGCTGAGACCATTGTGGTCCTCTGGTGCGAGAAGCACCCAAAGGACTGTGATCTGCCTGCTTTGAGGTGGGAAGGGTTATTCCAGTTCTGCTTGCCCGAGCGGTGACTGTGGGCAACCCTACGATCCAGAACGCATGGTCATCTTAAGGAGCAGCTGGCTTTACCCCTAGGGTGAGCATAGGTCTTAGATTATGCCTGTCGTCCTGCAGTAATTTATAGCAGCGTCTTTTGTATTCAGGCATCCTGGTTTGCGTGGTAATGTATTAATACAGTTGTCTTTAAACAACACGATGAAGGGGGCGGGTTATTGTTCTCTCTTCACCGATGAGGATAATGAGCCTTAGAGATCTCGAGAGACTTTCCTGGCCCCATCCCCTTTGAGGGGCAGGGCTCACTCTGGTTCCCTGTCTAGGTGCCACCCTCCTCTCTGCACCTCAGCCCACACCGGGATGTCTGTTTCTAACCTCACCACAGTGGCACTTCCCCCTCACCTGGGGGGTGCCCAGAACAAATGTATTCGGGTGAAGCCAGTATGACTGTTTCTACCCATTTTGGTTCTTCCCCAGGCCCTATCTGAATTTCCCACCCACTCCTTCCTGCCGAAGGACCCAAATCCCAGGATCCCGCCCCAAATCTGGGAATTGTCATCCTCCCACCACAGTCCGAAAACAGCCAGTGATCTTCTCTGCCTGCCCTGTCCTAGAGCCTCTGACCTCCTTCATTTCCCTGCTTCTCTGGCTGGGAAACTTCCCCTCCTCTTCCCACGCCAGGCTGCAGTGAGGAAGAGACCTGGGCTTAGATGATTTTCCTCAAGTCTGTGCACCGTGTAGTCAAGGAGTCCTGCCCACTTCACACAGCGCCCCCAGACCCACTGTTGAACGTGGCACGGGGTCACAACAAGTGTTCGCTGAATGAGGGTTTTAAGTCCCCCAGGGCGGACGCAAGTAGGGTGTTTGAGAGGGCTTCTCTTTGACCCCTGCCTCTGCCAGGTGTGCCCCCGAGAGCCTGAAGACACGCACCTTCTCCCATGCCAGCGACACCTGGATGTTCGGGGTGACGCTGTGGGAAATGTTCACCTATGGCCAGGAGCCCTGGATCGGCCTCAATGGCAGTCAGGTGGGGGCTGGGAGATGGGCCCCCATAGGGCTGGTGGGGTGAGTTCCATTCCCAGCTTGCAGCCTGGCCCTGCTGGAACTGCCTCTCACCCATGGACTCCCTCCTCCACGCCCCGTATCTGTATGGCCTCAGGGAGAGCCCAGCAAAGAGACGGGGAGGGAAAAGCTGGGACCTGCCCTCCTCTTCTAGCCCTTGCCACATCCACTCACTCCGAGGCCCCAGACCTGGGAAGAAGGGTCTAGGGCTCTGGAGAGGGCCCCTCCCGGGCAGGCAGATCCCTTCTGTGGAGGCCAGGCACGGCAGCAGCTGCTGCAGCTGTGGATAGGCCGGAGGGAAGGCGGGAAGTGAAGGGCTGGGTGCTCTGTCTTCAAACTCTGCACCTCCTCACCTTCAGATCCTGCATAAGATCGACAAGGAGGGGGAGCGGCTGCCCCGGCCTGAGGACTGTCCCCAGGACATCTACAACGTCATGGTCCAGTGCTGGGCTCACAAGCCAGAGGACAGACCCACATTTGTGGCCCTGCGGGACTTCCTGCTGGAGGTGAGGGACAGGTCAGCCCAGGAGAGCTGGGGTGTCCAAGCGGAGGGGCTACCCAGGTGTCAGTCCCAGAGCTGGCAGTGACCTTTCTCTTCCCCCAGGCCCAGCCTACGGACATGCGGGCCCTTCAGGACTTTGAGGAGCCAGACAAACTGCACATCCAGATGAATGACGTCATCACCGTCATCGAGGGAAGGTACAGAGTGCAGGGCTGGGCCCGCCCTGGGATCGCTTGAAGGGCACAGGTCAGAGGGGCCTGTGGACAGATCTCTTTGGCCTCCAAGATTCCCTTGGCCACACACAGGCTGGTGGTTGGGCCTGAACCCTGCAGTGTGAGGGGAGGACAGGCCTGCCTCCGTCTCCCTAGTGCCTTTTCCTGCCCAGCTTCTCTCCACCACCCTTTCCCACTGGGCTCCAGCCCTGGCTCTGTGGTTGGGCCAGGCTGCCTTTATGGAGGGGTAGGGAGTGGCCTGGCCTGGCCTGGGTCGCAGCAGAGCTCTGGACTCCCGTGCTTCCTCCTCTGCTCCTCCCTGGCACAGGGCCTCAACCTTCCACCTGGCTGCCTTTCAGTAGCTGAAGCAGCCCAGCCTGCCCTCTTGCCAGCTTTCCATCCTTCCTGCTGAGCCCACTGCACGCTCCCAGGCCTGCCTCCAGCCTCTGGGCCTCTCTTCCCATCTCCCCTTGGGGAGACCCTCTCCGTACCTAACCCTCCTCCCACAGCCTCTCCAGAGCCCCCGTCTTCCACCCGAGCCCCCACAGTTCTAGCACCTGCCCTGAGGCCCCACCCACTGCTGACCCTGCCTTCTGCTGGCTGATCCCCAGGGCGTCTGAGGAACTGGTGGGGGCAGGGCAGGTGTGAGGTGCCTTTGAGGCAGCGGGGAGTGTTGAGGACCAGGAAGAGGAGTGAAGTGGAGGAAATTCCCTGTACTCTCAGCTCCTGTGACTCAGGCCAGGCAAGGAGGGGGTGCGGCTGCTTCCCACGAAGCCTCTTCCACCTACACTGCAGGTTTTAGGGGTCTGCAGCCTTCGGTGCAATCCTGTGCCTCTTGGGGGCATAGGGAGGAGACCTGGGGGGGCTGCGTGGAGTGTGACCCGCACCACGGTGGCCCCGACACCCCGAGCCTTCCCAGGCCCGGCTCCCTCACCTTTGGGCCCAGGGTCCGGGAACAGGAATGACATACTGAGACTGCAGGGCCTGTGGCTGGGGGTGTTATTCTGGCGAAGAAAGCAGAAGGTTCTAGAAAGAGAGGCTTGGAGACAGGAGGCACACTGTCTGCAGGTTTGGCGTGGAGGGGTCAGGGATGGGATTGCAAGCGTGGCGCTCCGGGGAGCATTCTGGAAATAGGAAGATTAAGTGTGGGGGTCCCCTGGAGGTACCTGGCAGGGCCTCCAGCCCAAAGTCAAGCCCCACGTCCATGTCTACCTCCATGAGCCAGAGAACCGTTGGCCTGGCCCCTCTTGTGCTGCCGCCAGAGCCCCAGATCTTTACCGCCCGCTTCCCTTGCTCTCAGCAGGAGCCTGTGTGCCTGCCAGTGTCCCCAGGGGTGACTCGGAGTGGCCTGTGTTTGGGGCGTGTGTCTCTGGAGCTGGTGCTTTAGGTCACTGACGGGGCAAGGCGGGCAGCGGGAGGGGCCGGGAGCGGCTGCTCCCGGGAGGATTGTGGGTGTGCCCTGCCCTGCCCTCCCGTCGAAGGCTCCTGTTAGCCCCAGCCGCTGGTTCCCTGTGGCTGCTGCTGGGGGCTCCTTCCCCAGGGCCACCAGCCCCGGCTTGGACCACAGCACCTGCCCTCCGTGCCTGAAGCTGCTCAGGAGGTGGGAGGTGAGGGGCAGGCGGCCACGGCAGCCGGTGAGGCTTGGGATCGGGCCTGGGTGTCAGTGGTGGCAGAGCTTGACTCTGCCCCTTGTTTTCTCAGTCCCAGAATATCTCCATGTTTGTGTGGCTGCCTCCGTCTCCATGTCTCCGGGCAGATGCTCTGTCTGTCTTTGGGCCTGGCTTTGCACATGTGGGTCTCTGTGTTTGGGCCTCCCTCCTAGCCTGGCCTTCTCTTCGCAGTGACTTCCCACTTGCTGTGTCCAGCGTTTGTTTCCTGGTGTGGAGTCGGGGAGGCCACCTGCCCCAGCTCTGAGTCTAGGCTCAGTCCTTCTCAGGGTCCTAGGCTGTGGGCAGAGGGAAGACACCGAGGTGTTTCGTGCTCTGTCTAGATTTGGAGACACAGTTGATGGCCGGTCCTTTCTGGGGGCTCATTTGGAGGAAGGGATGGCTGGCAGCACTTCTGTTCCGCATACAGAGCGGGTGTTGGGATCCGTTGCGGGTCCTTGGCCTGGTCTGGCCCTGGAGCCTCGGCTTCCTGTTGGGGGTGGGAGCCAGGCATCCTGGTTATCCCTCCAGGCCTGGGCGCCTGGTACCCCCAGAGAGAAGAGCAGGCGGGCGTTGTGAACAGAATGTCCGGCATTGGTTGAGCCATTTCTGGACTACCTCCGGCCAGGACGGGAACACGGTGCTGAGATTTCCAGAGCTGGGGTAGCCTTAGGCAGTTCTCAGCACCCGGCCTCTGTTTTCCATCTTGTCTACCCCAGAGACGCTGACCAGAGGCCCAGGGGCAGCAGGAGGTAGAAGGTTCACGCCAGAGGTGTTGGGCCCTTTGCCTGCTTCCCCAGGAAGTCCGCATCTGCCCCTGCTTCAGTCACTGCCCGGTGGCAGCCCTGGCCCTCCCATGGCCGCAGGGAGTCTGGCCTGTTGGTGGCAGGAGAGAGAGGGCGCAGACAGGGTGGGTCTGGAGGGAAGGGCTGGCCTCAGTCCCCTCTGGGCTGCTGGTGCCTCGGCCACACTGAGCCTCACACGGGTGCGTGTGGGCTGTGAGAAGCGACACTGGTCCTCTTGGGGGAGAAGCTGCCTGGGAATGTGCTTGGGTGCGATCCTGAGGGGTGTTTCTTGCACACATTCTCTGCCGTCTTACTCTCCTTCCCCCAGGAGCAAGCATGTTTTCTGGAGTGTCAGGACTCCCAGCAGCCGTGGGGGTTCTTGCCTGGCCACGCCTGCGCTAAGGGAGGTGTCTCCTTTCCCTCGCACGAGTGGGTCCCAGAGGAGGCTTGTGTGCCAGGAGCTGGGCAGTGCTGGTGGAAGGGAAAGGCCAGAGGGAGTGGCCTCCTGCCTTGGGCGCCAGTCCTGCTGCTCTGAGCGAGGTCTCCGTCTCCGCCTCAGCTGCATTTTCACCTGGTTAACGAGCGCCCCTGAAGAGGTGGAGACCAGAGTCCAGCAGTCCAGCGTCTGGCCCAGGGCCGCCACCAGGGAACCCGTGGGTGTAGCAGGAGAGCCGCAGCCGGGCTGGTGCCGGGGTTCCTCCCCTGCGGCCGCCGCCGGAGGCTGTGTGTGCCTGTGCTGGGGAGCCGTGGCTCTGCTCCTTCCAGTAGCCCTATTTTTCGGATGGGACTTGTCCCTTCCCGGGTGTTGTCCTCTCTCCTTCCTTCCCACCCTGCAGGCAGGGTGGGAATCACAGGGTGGCTGTGTGTGGTGGGGCCGGGCCAGTGGCCCTGTGTATGGGAGGCTGGGCAGGGGGAGCTTCCTGCCTGCCCGCGCCCCCCGCCCTCCCTGCACCTCCCCATGCCTCCCCACGCCTCCCCACGCACCCCCAGGCCCCCAACCTCCCTGCGCCCCCCCCCAGCCTCCACGTGCCTCCCCGCGACCCCCCCAGGCCCCCAACTTCCCTGCGCCTCTCCCACCGTGCCTCCAGGCGCCCCCCCTCCACGCGCCGCCCCCCGCACCTCCACGTGCCCCCCCGCGTCCCCCCGGGCCCCCAACCTCCCTGAGCCTCCCCCCTGCGCCTCCACTCGCCCCCCTCCACGCACCCGCCCCCCACGCCTCCCTGCGCCCCCCAGACCCTCAACCTCCCTGCGCCTCCACCACGCGCCGCCCCCCGCGCCTCCACGTGCCTCCCGGCACCAACCCCCTACCCCCAACCTCCCTGCGCCTCCCCACCTCGCGCCTCCAGATGCCTCCCCGTGCCCCCCCCGCCCCCCAACCTCCCTGAGCCTCCCCCCGCCCCTCCACTCGCCCCCCTCCATGCACCCACCCCCTGCGCCTCCCCGCCCCCCCACCTTCAACCTCCCTGCGCCCCCACCACGCGCCGCCCCCCGAGCCCTCTGCCTCCCTGCGCCCCCTCCCGTGCCTCCATGTACTCCCCGCCTCCACTTGCCCCCCCCCGCACCTCCACGCGTCCCCCCAGGCCCCCAACCTCCCTGTGCCTCCCCCCAACTCCTCCACGCGCCCCCCCTCCTGCCCCTCCATGCACCCGCGGCCTCCACGAGCTTCCCTGGGCCCCGGCCTCCCGGCCTCTCCTCACCCCCCCCCCCCCCCCCCCCCCGCGCGTGGTGGTGCTCTGGGGTTTGACTTTGGTCTCTGGGATGGGCTGTTCCCGGAGTCGAGCCGCTCCAGCCAGGCCTGGTCACCTCACAAGGCTGTGGGTCTGGGTGCCCACGCGTCGCTGCCTTCTCCATCCTCTCTCCCGGGCCTGACTGTGTTTCAGAGGAGCCCTTCCTCAGGCTTTGGCCCTGGGACAGGTGACGCGGGGGTTGGTGGGGAGGGTGTGTAGTGTGGTGCCACACGTGTCCACCCCAGCTGCACGGGACTGTCACCGCCCCCCCTGCGCAGACTCTGCCCATGGCATCACTTATGAGCAAGTCCAGCATGGAGGCGGGAGCCTCACAGCCTGTCAGAGCCTTGGGGTGTCAGGAGTGTCTTGCGGGAGCCCTGTGCTTCCTGGCATGCCTTCCCTACCGCTGCCCCTGCCCTGGCCCCGGCTTAGGCCGCAGCAGCAGAGGTTTCATGTCTGAGGTCAGAGGGGACTGAGGTCAGAGGGGACTGACGTCACAGGGACTGAGGTCAGAGGGGACTGAGGTCAGGGGGGACTGAGGTCAGGGGGGGACTGAGGTCAGGGGGGGTGTCTGAGGCCAGAGGGGGACTGAGGTCAGAGGGGACTGATGTCACAGGGACTGAGGTCAGAGGGGACTGAGGTCAGGGGGGACTGAGGTCAGGGGGACTGAGGTCAGGGGGACTGAGGTCAGAGGGGGACTGAGGTCAGAGGGGGACTGAGGTCGGGGGACTGACGTCAGGGGGACTGAGGTCAGAGGGGGACTTGAGGTCAGAGTGGGGACTGAGGCCGGGGGACTGAGGTCGGGGGACTGAGGTCAGAGGGGGACTGAGGTCAGAGGGGACTGAGGTCGGGGACTGAGGTCGGGGGGACTGAGGTCAGAGGGGGACTGAGGTCAGAGGGGGACTGAGGTCGGGGGACTGGACGGGGTCAGGAGGGGACTGAGGTCGGGGGACTGAGGTCATGTGGGGGACTGAGGTCAGGAGGGGATTGAGGTCGGGGGACTGAGGTCAGAGGGGGGACTGAGGTCAGAGGGGGACTGAGGTCAGGGGACTGAGGTCAGAGGGGGACTGAGGTCAGAGGGGACTGAGGTCGGGGGCACCTGACGCCAGAGGGGGACTGGAGGTCGGGGACTGAGGTCAGAGGGACTGACGTCAGGGGGGACTGAGGTCAGAGGGGACTGAGGTCGGGGGACTGAGGCCAGAGGGGGACTGAGGTCAGGGGACTGAGGTCAGAGGGGACTGAGGTCGGGGGACTGACAGGGGACTGAGGTCAGGGGGACTGAGGTCAGAGGGGTCGAGGTCGGGGGACTGAGGTCAGAGGGGGACTGAGGTCAGAGGGGACTGAGGCTGTGAGGGGGACTGAGGTCAGGGGACTCGAGGCCTGCAGGACTGATGTCAGGACTGGATGCCGAGGGGACTCCCGAGGTCAGAGGGGGACTGAGGTCGGGGGGACTGAGGTCGGGGACTGAGGTCAGGGGGACTGAGGTCAGGGGGACTTGAGGTCAGAGGGGACTGAGGTCGGGGACTGAGGTCAGAGGGGGACTGAGGTCAGAGGGGACTGAGGTCAGAGGGGGATCAGTGGTCGGGGGACTGAGGTCGGGGGAGACTGAGGTCAGAGGGGGACTGAGGTCAGAGGGGACTGAGGTCGGGGGACTGAGGTCGGGGACTGAGGGCCGGGGGACTGAGGTCAGAGGGGACTGAGGTCAGAGGGGGACTGACGTGTCAGAGGGGACTGACGGGCCAGAGGGGGAGACTGAGGTCGGGGGACTGAGGTCAGAGGGGACTGAGGTCATGGGGCTGAGGTCGGGGGACTGAGGTCGGGGGACTGAGGTCGGGGGACTGAGGTCATGGGGGACTGAGGTCATGGGGACTGAGGTCATGGGGGACTGAGGTCAGAGGACTGAGGTCGGGGGACCCTGAGGTCAGGAGGGGACTGAGGTCATGGGGGACTGAGGTCGGAGGAGACTGAGGCCGGGAGGGGACTGAGGTCGGGGGACTGAGGTCAGGGGACTGAGGCTCATGGGGACTGAGGCTGAGGGGGACTGACGTCGAGGGGGACTGAGGTCGGGGGACTGAGGCCCGTGGGGGACTGAGGTCAGAGGGGACTGAGGTCGGGGGACTGAGGTCAGAGGGGGACTGAGGTCAGGAGGGGGACTGAGGTCAGAGGGGACTGAGGTCATGGGGGACTGAGGTCAGAGGGGGACTGAGGTCATGGGGGACTGAGGTCAGGGGGACTGAGGTCAGGGGGGCACTGAGGTCAGGGGGCGACTGAGGTCGGGGCAACTGAGGTGGGGGGGACTGAGGTCAGAGGGCACTGGCAGCCACTGGTCACTGTGTGAGTACTGAGTTCCCTTTTGGACTTCTTGTTTTAAGACACAAGTAGAGCCCCTCCTGAGGAGACGGGGAGGCTCCCGCAGACCTGCCAGGAGGTGATAGAAACTGCCGGAAGCATGTGAAGTGGTGGGGAGAAGGCCTTCAGTTGCCGGGAGTGCTTCTAGACTCTCACGGGTCTGCATGCAGGAGGCAGGTTGTAGTTGGAGGCCTGGCCCCCAGCCTAGTGCAAGGCTCTCGGTGTCCCGACACCCCCACACCGCTCAGAACTCCTGGAACCCAGCCGAGGAGTGAAAGCCAGTGGCCAGAAAAGGACTGGGGCCCGGCCTTGCCAGGGGACTGACTGGGGAGCGAGGAGGAGCCGTGGTTGGGGCACTGGTCTCGCAGACCTGAAAGCTGGGTTTGGGTCCCGGGTCTCCTGGGATCTTTCTGGTAACCGTAGGCAGATCATGTTGCCTGCTGCAGCAGCGTGCCTCCTTATTTGCAAACTGTAGGGAAAGCTGCCTGACCCACCTAGAGAGTTGAGGGTAAGGCCGTGTGCAAACAGGCCTGTACGAGGCATGGTGGGTCACGGGGGCTGTGGGGGAGGAGGGCCGGTGGCAGGCAGTCTGGTCCTGAGGCCTGAGCCCCATCCTCGTTCTGCCACAGTGGCCAGGGTGTGAGGAGGGTCCCAGTGCCGGGGCTGCCCGCCACGTCTCGAGTTCACTGTGCCAACTCTGTCGGGCAGGGCCGAGAACTACTGGTGGCGTGGCCAGAACACGCGGACGCTGTGTGTGGGACCCTTCCCTCGCAACGTGGTGACCTCCGTGGCCGGCCTGTCGGCCCAGGACATCAGCCAGCCCCTGCAGAACAGCTTCATCCACACGGGGCATGGCGACAGTGACCCTCGCCACTGCTGGGGCTTCCCAGACAGGATCGACGAGTGAGTACCGGGCGGGGATGGGTGCCCCGCTCGGGACTCCAGGACCCTCAGCACAGCACGCATAGGCGGAACCTGTTCGTCACCTTTCGCTCGGGCTTCAGCCTGCGACCTGCGACCCGCCCCTCCTCACCCCCGGCCTTACTCTCTGGAAGCTGTGGAACCCTAGAAAGCCCAGCTTGGTGGGGATTCTCCCGGGGAACGTGCTTTCCCTGCCATTTTCAAGCTTCCGGGGCCGATCTCCTAACTCCGAGACTGACTTCATCTGTGAAATGGGTCCACCCCCCGATGAGGGGAGGGCTGGAAATGCACTGTGAATTAGAACGTGCTGCTCAGAGGCAGGGGTCCTGAGAGATGCTTTCCTGCCCATCACAGATGAAAGTAGGGTCAGGAGCTTCTGAGGATGGACTCCTGTTTGGTGGAAAGGCCCCGGAGCCACAGCTGTAACCCCTCTTGGGACCCCGGCCTTAGGAAAATGGACTTGAGAGGAACCCAGTGGAAGCTGCTGAGGGGCAGAGCTTCTCCCGTGACCCCCCCGTGACCCCCTGTGACCCCTGCACGTGAGCAGTGGTTTTCCTTCTCCTGCCGGTGGTGCCAGAGTCCCGGAGACGTGAGCCCACTGGCTCGGGCCCTGGGGATGTGTGGGAGTGAGCCTGCTTCCCAGAACCACAGCAGGACTGGGGACCTTGGGGACTGCAGAGGGAACGTTAGGTGGCAGGTCCGCCTCCCCACCGCACAGTACAGAGCTCACTCCATACCTGGGAAGGGCGCTGCCCCCTGTGTAAGAGGATAAGGCCACTGAGGGGCATCTGGGAAGGACGCACAGAATCGGTCACTTCCGGGATGCTACACCCCAGGGAGGCCCTGGAAGCTTCTTCCACCAGGCCTCCAAGCCTCTCTGCTGGCCACAGGGGGATTCCAGGTCCCTGGCCTCTGCAGCCCTTCTGCTGACTTCTGATACTCTGGTCTGTCCTGAGAGGCATGGAAAGCAGGGGCCTCCAGCCACCGGACCCCACACACCAGAACCCCAAGCTCACACTCTGGTCTGTCCTGAGAGGCATGGAAAGCAGGGGCCTCTGGCCACCGGACCCCACACACCAGAACCCCAGGCTCACAGGGCTCAGCCCATGCGTTTTGCCTAAAAAACCCAGCAAGGGCCTGAGGCTTGGGGTGAAAGGTTGCAGACACCTCCGGGAGAGGCTGCTGCCCTCTGCCCCACTCCTGGCACACCGTGGCCAGCCCAGCCCCATTCCTACGGGCTTTAATCAGCCCCAGTGACTAAGTCTTAGATACTGACAGTTGGTGCAGCGATGGAGGGTGGATCCGCAGCAGGACAAGTGGCCCAGCCTCTCCCGCACCTCCTGGCCACCCTAGCCGGGCACCGTAGCTGGGATGCCTTGTTCTCAGGCCCCCCATGGTGGCCTGCGGGACAGAAGTATGTGCCCTCCTGCGGCTGCCTGGTGTGGGCTAGGGGCCTGGGCGTTGTGGAGGACCCACCTCTGCCCTTGTAGGATACAGTTGGAGCCCCTGAAGTCCTAGGCTTTCCATCCTGGGGTCAGATGTCCTTTCTCTGCCCTCTCTCCAGGACACCTTGTTGTGTCTCCTCTGGTTCCAGCTGAGATGAGTGGTCAGGATCTGTGGACTGGGAGGCAGGAGGCCTGCGCTCCAGACCTAAGACTACACCTGGTTTCCTCCAGGAGGAGGGGGTTCTGATAAGATTCTGCCACCCCTCCACATGCTTCCCCTGCTCTCTTGACCTGGCTCTTTCCCCCACAGACTGTATCTGGGAAACCCCATGGACCCCCCCGACCTGCTGAGCGTGGAACTGAGCACCTCCCGGCCCCCCCAGCATCTAGGAGGGGTGAAAAGTAAGATCCCCTCTGCTCCTTGGTGTCCCTGATTCATTGGCTGCTCAGGAAGGAGCACTGTGTTCACAGGCCACCCTGAGCCTGCTCCTCTGGCTCTGGGGACAGTGGGGTCAGGGCAGCAGGCGGGACAGCTGTGTCCCTGGCTCTGGCTGGGCGTGGGGTGGAAGATAGGCAGCTGTATCCGCCGAGGTGGGCCTCCTCTGGCTGGGTCTGCAGCAGCCCCGTCCGCCCCGGCGTCCCTCCTCCCTCCTTCCACAGCCGAGCTCAGATCCTGGCTTTCCTCACTTCCCCCTAATCCTGCTCTCCTGTCCCAAGCCAAAACCCCCCCATGCTCCGGCTCTGCCTGGAGCCGCCTCCATCTCCCGGTCCTCTGCCTGTCATACTAGACTGCCCTGTTCCTTATCCTGCCGCCCGCGGCCTCCCGTGTGCTGGGGGCTTGTACATTCACTCGCCCCCGTTCACTTCTCTCCCTTCCTCTCTCTCCACGCTCTGCCCTCTCGTCCGGCTGTCTTCCTCCCTCGTCCTCTGTCCTGTTCCGTCCCTCTCCCCCTGTCCGCATGGCCTTTCTTGCAGGGGAGCCTCCACCTCGCCCACCTCAGCCTGCCTTCTTCACTCAGAGTAAGTGGGGCTGCTCCCGGTGCCTCGGCCCCCGCCCCCGCCCCCTCTCTCTCACTCCTCTCCTGGAAGGTACAGAGCCCGGGCAGCTGGGTGGGCGGGGAGGCTGGTGTGTGCTGTGAGCTTCTGCGGCTGGCCTGGCCTAGCGTGCCTGCCTCCTCCGGCCTGCCCCCCAGAGTCTGGGCTTTGGAGCACGAGTGTGGCGCTGGCTTCCGCCTCGGCCTCACTCCCTCTCAGACCTGCCTGGGCTTCTGGAGCACGAGTGAGGCTGAGGCTTTCACTTCCTCTCAGACCTGCCTGGGCTTTGGAGCACGAGTGTGGCCCTGGCTTCCGCCTCGGCCTCACTGCCTCTCAGACCTGCGGGCACTGTCTGGGCTTTGTGGCGGTTGGTCAGGAGCGCTGTCCTCTCCAAGGATAGTTCCTATGGCCCTGATGGCAGGAGGTGGCTCCGTGCCTGCACTAATGGTGTGCCGTGGCGGGGGCGGGGGTGAGGGCTTTACTAACGCGCTGGGGCCCAGGAGCAGAGGTGCCAGGGTCTTGTGCTGATGGAGGGAGTGACGGGCAGGAGCCGGTGTTGCTTGCTCCAGCTTAGACGGAGGGAGGCGGGGCTCATGGGCCCACACGGGGCTGCCTGCTGGGCAGAGCAGGTTCCGCCCTCCTGATGAGGGGTCGGAGGTGCACTGAGAACCTGGCAGCCAATGGCTGACCTCAGACCTCGGGGGGAATTGGGAGTGGAGGGTTGCTGGGGGACACTCGGCTTTCTTTCCCATGTGCCACCTCCCCTGTGCCCCTGACCCGGCCTGACTGCCTTCCTGTCGGGGTCTCCCTTTCCTCACAGAACCAGCCTATGACCCTGTGAGTGAGGACCAGGACCCCCTGTCCAGCGACTTCAAGAGGCTGGGCCTGCGGAAGCCAGGCCTGCCCCGAGGGCTGTGGCTGGCGAAGCCCTCAGCGCGGGTGCCGGGCACCAAGGCCGGCCGAGGCAGCGGGGCCGAGGTCACGCTCATTGACTTTGGTGAGGAGCCCGTGGTCCCGGCCCTGCGGCCCTGTGCGCCTTCCCTGGCACAGCTGGCCATGGACGCCTGCTCCCTGCTGGACGAGACCCCGCCCCAGAGCCCCACGCGGGCACTGCCCCGGCCCCTGCACCCCACGCCTGTGGTGGACTGGGATGCCCGCCCGCTGCCCCCTCCGCCCGCCTATGACGATGTGGCCCAGGATGAGGATGACTTTGAGGTCTGCTCCATCAACAGCACCCTGGTGGGCATGGGGGTCCCTGCTGGGCCCAGCCAGGGCGAGACCAACTACGCCTTTGTGCCTGAGCAGGGGCGGCCGCCCCCTCCCCTGGAGGACAACCTGTTCCTCCCGCCCCAGGGTGGGGGCAAGCCGCCCAGCTCTGCGCAGACCGCAGAGATCTTCCAGGCACTGCAGCAGGAATGCATGAGGCAACTGCAGGTTCCGGCCGGCTCCCTGACCCCCTCTCCCAGCCCAGGGGGTGACGACAAGCCCCAGGTGCCCCCCCGGGTACCCATCCCCCCTCGGCCCACGCGCCCACACGTCCAGCTGTCTCCAGCCCCCTTGGGCGAGGAGGAGACGGGTCGGTGGCCTGGACCTGCCTCCCCTCCCCGGGTACCTCCGCGGGAGCCCCTGTCCCCTCAAGGCTCAAGGACACCCAGCCCCCTGGTACCACCTGGTAGCTCCCCACTGCCACCCCGACTCTCAAGCTCACCTGGGAAGACCATGCCCACCACCCAGAGCTTTGCCTCAGACCCCAAGTACGCCACCCCCCAGGTGATCCAGGCGCCTGGCCCTCGGGCCGGTCCCTGTATCCTGCCGATTGTCCGGGATGGCAAGAAGGTCAGCAGCACCCACTATTATTTGCTGCCTGAGCGGCCGTCCTACCTGGAGCGCTACCAGCGCTTCCTGCGTGAGGCCCAGAGCCCCGAGGAGCCGGTCCCCCTGCCTGTGCCCCTGCTGCTGCCCCCACCCAGCACCCCGGCCCCCGCCGCCCCCACGGCCACCGTGCGGCCGATGCCCCAGGCTGCCTCGGACCCCAAGGCCAACTTCTCCACCAACAACAGCAACCCAGGGGCCCGACCACCAGCCCCGAGGGCCACTGCTCGGCTGCCACAGAGGGGCTGCCCTGGGGACGGACCAGAGGTGGGCCGGCCAGCAGACAAGATCCAGATGGTGAGCACCCAGCCTGGCTGTGGGTGAGGCGGGGCAGGGCCCAAGGGGCCTGGAGCAGTGGGCCCTCGTGCTGACGGGGGTGGGGGTGTGCCCAGCTGCAGGCCATGGTGCATGGGGTGACCACAGAGGAGTGCCAGGCGGCCCTGCAGAGCCACGGCTGGAGCGTGCAGAGGGCTGCCCAGTATCTGAAGGTACCGCCACCTCTTGCTCGCTCTGGCTTTTAGGGACCCTGAAGCCTGGTTCTGCTGCCCCCAGTCCCCCGCCCCCGGCTCCAACTCTCCTCTTCCCCACCCTAGTTGGTGCCCTGGGTCCGCGTGTCCATGGCACCACCCTTACCCCCAGGTGGAGCAGCTCTTCGGGCTGGGTCTGCGGCCCAGAGGGGAGTGTCACAAAGTGCTGGAGATGTTCGACTGGAACCTGGAGCAGGCCGGCTGCCACCTTCTGGGCTCCTGGGGCCCTGCCCACCACAAGTGAGTGAGCCCCACAGTCTGTCCCGCTCCGTGCCCCAGGAGGGTTGTCCCGGAGCCTGCCATGCTGGGAGGAAGCCCAGCACCTCGCAGGCCACTCCCAGCCAGGGAGACACGGCTCTCCAGCTGCAGGAGGGAGGCGCGCACGGGACTCAGGAAATCGTTTCTCCTAAATGTGTGTGTTTGGACATTTTAGCCACTTGGTTTTCAAACGAGTACAAGAGGGAATTGGAGCCTCTCCAGTTGAAGAGACCTTGCTCCCCTAGCACCTGCAGCGACCCTGAGCGGTTCCAGGGAATGGTGCTTTAGGGCCCCGTGATTTACACACCTCTGTCTCACCTCTGTGTTTCCGTATTTCTGTTTAAAGTAACATTTAAAATTTCAATGTTGGCCGGGCACTGTGGCTCATGCCTGTAATCCCCAGCACTGTGGGAGGCCCAGGAGGGAGGATCACCTGAGGTCAGGAGTTCGAGACCAGCCTGGCCAACATGGTGAGACCCCGTCTCTACTAAAAATACAAAATTTAGCTGGGTGTGGTGGCAGGCACCTGTAATCCCAGCTACTCGGGAGGCTGAGGCAGGAGAATGGCTTGAACCTGGGAGGCGGAGGTTGCTGTGAGCTGAGATGGCACTACTGCACTCCAGCCTGGGCGACAGAGCGAGACTCTTGTCTCCAAAAAAAAAAAAAAAAATTTTTTTTCACTAAAAAGAAAATGTATTATCTTTCCTGTAAAAGGTTTATATTGTAGTGTAACAAAATATAGACATTTAAAATATATACATATATAAATATACTTTATACATTATGTAAATACGTATATGAGAGTGCCGCCAAGGCAAAAAGCAGTGAACTGAGGTCAGATGGGTGGAGCCAGCATCATGGCAGGAGGTGGGGCTGACATGGGCCAGGCCCTGGAGACGGCAGCTCAGTCAGGGCCTGCTGCCCTTGTCCCAGCCGCATGGCCTGTGCGTGGCTCTGAGTTTCCCCATATGTAAAGTGTGTAGATAATAGTACCCACCCTAGGCTGGGCGCGGTGGCTCACGCCTGTAATCCCAGCACTTTGGGAGGCCGAGGCGGGCGGATCACGAGGTCAGGAGATCGAGACCATCCTGGCTAACACGGTGAAATCCCGTCTCTACTAAAAATACAAAAAACCAGCTGGGCGTGGTGGCGGCGCCTGTAGTCCCAGCTACTCGGGAGGCTGAGGCAGGAAAATGGTGTACACCCAGGAACCAGAGCTTGCAGTGAGCCGAGATCGCGCCACTGCACTCCAGCCTGGGCGACAGAGCAAGACTCCGTCTCAAAAAAGTAAAAAAATAGTGCCCACCCTGTGGACAGGACTGGCGCCATGGATGGGGGGCGTGCCTGTCACATCACGCACAGCATGCCTGGCACCAGGACGCAGGCACCCCGGGTCCCCCGTCTGTCTCATACTGTCTGGCGTGGTTCTTACTGATTTGCATCCACTTAGGCTTGGGCTTTTTCGCACCGGTCGTCCGCAGATTCTCTAATACACAGGAGTGCTAGTTAATTTACTCATCGTTTATTAACGTACAGAGAAAGGACATCCAGGATGATAAATGTCACAGTTCTTGCCGGGCACTGCCAGCTTCCAGTGGTGTTGCCTGGCACCAGGAGGCAGCGACTCCTGCGTCCCCCGGTACCCGCCCCGCTGACCTTTCTGTAACCTGTGTAACTGCTGGTGGTTTCCCATTCTGCAGGCGCTGAGACGTGTCTGGAGAGCCAGAGGACCTGGCTGAAGGAATCGCCTGAGCCTGTCCATCCACCAGGGGTAGGGAGATGCTCCCGTCCAGGCCTGGAGGACCTGCTGCTCCCTGTTGCTCCTGGGGACAGAGCAAGGCCAAGGCAGTGGGAGGCTGGGAGCCCCGCCCTGCCCATCCCTCCCGCACCAGCGCTGTCCCTGCAGACTTTGGTTCGGTGCCCCAGCCAAGATGAGGAAGGGGCCCGGTGAAGACAGGCCTGGGGGCTGCCCCAGCAGGCTCTGGGTATGACCTGCCTCTGGCCCGGGTCCTGGGTGGGGCCTGTGGCTGGAGTAGTGTCCCCAAACCCTGCCCTGGGTGACCAGACGGGGAGGAAACCTGACTGGACCTGGGCAGGCAGGATGTGTTGGCCACAGAGAGAGGCGGACCAGCACCCAGTAGGACCTCCTAGGACTGGGCCTTCTTCCAGGGGGCCCCTGGCAGGCAGTTGGGGTGTCGGGCAGAATGTGACGTGTGGCCTCACCATGGACTTGAATGGGACTTGGCTGGCCTCAGGATCTCGTGCCTGGAAATAGCCTGAGGTGGCTCAGGAGGCAGAGAAAGGGTGCCAGACCATTCTGTGGCGGGGACCAGGGCCCAAGGCCCCAGGGCTGGAAGGAGACCAAGGGGCAGCCACCCTGGAGGGACATCAGTGCTTCCTCTTCCACCCAACTTCCCGTGCGGTTCCACGTTTTCCCACCAGCCTGTCGGCAAAGTTGCTGCCCCAGCATTCGGTACCTGCTTCTTCCGGAGAAATAAAGTTAGTTTCTATTTTACGTTACTTACTCGCACCTGCCTGTTCCTTTGCCTGTTGGTCAGCAAGCTCCAGGCCCCAAGTGGGGCTCCCCGGGCCACCAGCATCTGCTCCGGGCGGCTGGTCTCGTGGCACCACCTGGAGGCAGCGGGAGGGCGTCTCCCCTTACACAGCTGCCAGCCGGGCCAGAGTCCCCACCGGTCTGGTCAGTGACTTTCACAGGGCCTGGATCCCTGTGAGGCTCGGGGCCTGGATCCCTGTGAGGCTCGGGGCCTGGATCCCTGTGAGGCTCGGGGCCTGGATCCCTGTGAGGCTCGGGGCCTGGATCTCTGTGAGGCTCGGGGCGTGGATCCCTGTGAGGCTCAGGGCCTGGACTTCATTTGCCGTATGGAGTTCTGTAAGGCGGGATATATGCTGCAGGAGAGAGCACAGCAACTCAGTTACATGGAGCCGAGCCAGAAATGTTAGGAACAAGGAGCCCTTCAGTATGTTAGGCATTTTAATTTTGTTTTTCTGAATAACTCATATATTCACACGGTTCAAAATTGAAAAGGCGCTGAAGAGTGTACAGTGAAATGACCCACCCCAGCCGTCCACTTCCCCAGCCCAGAGATGCCTGTATCACCAGTTTCTTGTGTAGTGCTTCTTGTTGTTTTTGTTTTTTTACTTAACAGTATTTTGAAGAATTCCATAGCAATATTGAACGTGCTTCCCCATTCTTTTTTTTTTTTTTTTTTTTTTTTTTTTTGAGACAGAGTTTTGCTCTTGTTGCCCAGGCTGGAGTGCAGTGGCGCGATCTCTGCTCACAGCAACCTGTGCCTCCCAGGTTCAAGCGATTCTCCTCCCTCAGTCTCTTGAGTAGCTGGAACTACAGGCGCCCGCCACCACACCCAGCCAATTTTTGTATTTTTAGTAGAGACGGGGTTTCTCCATGTTGGCTAGGCTGGTCTTAAACTCCTGACCTCAGGTGATCCGCCCGCCTCAGCCTCCCAAAGGGCTGGGATTACCGGCGTGAGTCACTGCGCCCAGCTGGGCTTCCCGTTCTTTCCGGTTGAATGGCTGTACGGGTGTACCACAACCTGCTTACCTGGGCTCCTTCTGATGAAGGGCAATTTTAGTCGTATCCGGTCCTTTGCAGTTACACCCATTGCCTCAGTAAATGGTGTACGTGGGCACGTCAGTCTGAAAGATGAGTTCGCAGCAGTGGGACTCCCGGGTCAGAGTGTGTGCTGTGGCGGTGGGTGCTGCTGAACTTGCCCCCAGTGGAGGGGCGTCCTCAGTTGTCCACCACCTGTGCAGGAGGGCGTTCCGTGTGTGAAGGAGTTTTCTGATCTTTGCCAGACTGTTAGAAAATAGTGTTTCTACAGTTTTAATATGCATTTCTCTTATGAATAAACTCAAAAATAAGTTGAGCCATTTGTGTTTCCTTTTTAATGAGTTGCCTATTAATATCCTTGGCCCATTACAAAATGTCAGATTATTTTTCAGTTTCTTTCTGCTTTCCAGGAAATCACTAGTTCAATTAAGGAAACTAGCTCTTTGAGCTTCACATAGGATCATGTGACCTTGATAGGAAAAGAGGTAAATCATAGGAAAGTAGGCTGATGACTCGGGTTTATTGAAAACAAACAGGCCATTCAGGATGAGTCTGGGCCACGTGTGTGTCTGTGGCTGTAGACTGGCCTTCGGGGGTAGGCCCTGAGGCTCAGAAGCTCTGAAGCCTGGCAGATTTGCATATGCCATTTGCAAAGGCAGGAATTCTATTTTAACTGTGATTTAAAATACCTAGTCAAATAGACAAAAAAGGAACAAGTTCTTTTTTTTTTTTTTTTTTTTGAGACGAAGTCTTGCTCTGTCACTCAGGCTGGAGTGCAGTGGCGCGATCTCAGCTCACTGCAACCTCTGCCTCCCGGGTTCAAGCGATTCTCCTGCCTCAGCCTCCCAAGTAGCTGGGACTACAGGTGTGCGCCATCGCACCCGACTAGTTTTTGGATTTTTAGTAGAGACGGGGTTTCACCATATTGGTCAGGCTGGTCTTGAACTCCTGACCTCATGATCTGCCTGCCTCGGCCTTGATCCCAAAGTGCTGGGATTACAGGCATGAGCCACCGCACCCAGCCAGAACAAGTTCGTATTAAGTGAGCTTTGAGCATTGCTGTTAGACCTGGATTTCATTCCCAGCTCTGTTTCATCTTAGAAACGTTATTTAACTTTTCTGAGTCTGTAAACTGATGGAGTAATTCCTGCTTTCTAGAAGGGCTGTGAGGACTGACTGAGGTTGTGAAGGTAAAACATTTTGCTTAGTGTGTGAGCCATAGTCAGTACCCACTACACAGTAGTTATTATAAATGTTATTTCCCCGTGTTCCTGCCTGTTTCTATTCATCGGTAGCTTACGTTGTGCACTGACCACACTCTGCGCATAGAATTGTGTTTTACATTTCTCATTTTCCCTATTTTTTTGGAAACAGTTTATTCTTTTGCTCACAATTATCCTATTTAGAGATCATAGGTGTTTTTACTTCATTTTTAAAAAGACATCAATTTTTTTGTAAGCAATCCAGACGTGTGTATGCTTTACAAGCATTTAAAAATCCGTTTCAGAGCCAACACATTCAGAAAGATTTTTGCAGTGGGCAGAGGATGTCAAAGCAGCTGGAGTTTTCTCAGGGGAGCAGGGAACCCCATGTACTTTTCCTGCCAGACACACAGTTCCCTAAACCCTGGGGTTTCCTGCTATGTTTTTCTTGCTTCTAATTGGCCTGCCAGCTTTTCCGGCATCTCCTGGGTTTACTGAAAAGATCTTCAGTTGGGATGTTGAAATGCTGACCCAGGTGTGTTTGCCAACAGGGAGAATCAACTCAGTGGGGAGGTGTTGGGTGCTTTTTGTGTGTTGAGCCCTGATGAGGAAACACGAGCTGAGTAGAAACAGTTCGTGCCCCAGAGGGGTTCTCAGTCTTTGGGGGACTGTGACGTCATCACAGCAAGACGAGTGCTCTGTAATCACTGTGCCCAGGTGCCTTGGAGCAGAGGAAGTGGCTCCCCTTCCCCTCTTGGGAGCAGAGGAGGTGGCTCCCCTTCCCCTCTTGGGAGCAGAGGAAGTGGCTCCCCACGAGGTCACGTTGTGCTGACGTGATGGGTAAGAACGGTGCGTGCCAGGTAGGCGAGGAGACAAACGCACTGCACCCGAGGTGGTGGACGCGAGCCAGCTTGTCCCAAGCACTGAAGTTGGCAAGGCCAGAGCGCATCCTTTTGTTGTTTTGGGGGTGGGTTGGAGGCGGCTCTCGTGATCCTGGCACGTGAGGCAGGCCTGTATCATGAGGCTGCTAGTGTGGAATGCTGAGCTCTTTTCGACTTGGTAGACAAAGGAAGACAGCAGGAACAGCCAGAGGGGTGGTGGGGTTGCGTCTGCGTGTTTAAGCAGGATGGGTTTGCTTGAAAGTGGCTGGTGGCTCCGCTGTGGCCACAAGAGGAGGAAAGATCTAGCGTGTGTCTCTCACTGCACACTGCGGACAGCAAGGTGTCCTTAATTCGAAGCAGGTTAATCTGTACAGAAACTAAATTTGGAGATTGGAGGAACCTCCAACTCCTGAATCTTTGTCGAGAGTAAGGGTTCCTGAAGGCCAGCCCAGGGCCACTGCCGGTCTAGAGTTAAGTGTTCAGCCACCTGAGGTGAAATGATAAGAACTACAGGACTGAGCTTTCTTTAAAATGAAACCGATTCCGTTTCAGGGATGGTCTTTATTTGGATGTTTGTGTCTTCCTGAGTTCTTGGTTTTGAAACGGCTGTTCTTGCGTAGTGGTGGTGGCGGTGGTGGTAGACGGTAACTGTGTCCCTGTGTCCTTGGGGAGCAGTGCTCTGTCCCGACGCCCCCCAGCAATGACGGCTGTTTGAGGGACCCCGAAGTCAGCCTTGGGGACCCGGGGCCAGCGTGCGTTCGTGGTGGGCAGCACCACCTGTTGGCACAACGTGGCATTGCAGGCCCTCTGGCTAAATTTCCGAGCGTGGGAGGGATGATACTGTGCAGTCATTAACGGCCTCATAAATCAATTAAGTCCAAATCTGCTGGCCCAAGCCCACAGGTGCTTAAAGGGAAGCTCTGGGTCGCCCACCATCCGGAGCCAAACAGGGACCAGCGAGGATCTAAGGTCGGGAAAGGAGACTGGTGGGGGTCTCTGAAAAAGGCCACACCCGCACCTGGGCCAGAAGCCTGCGGCTCTGGGCTGGCTGGAGGAAGCTGAGGGCTGGCAGAGTGGGCAGCCACTCTCCCACAGAAGTCCTGGCATCACACCACTCCATTTGGGAAGCCTCAGCTCCACTGTATTTAAAAACATGTTTTTATGATCGTCAGACATGCTCTTCGTTGAATGGGACCATTCAGAAAAGAGCAGTGAGAAAATTAAACACCCAGAAAGTCGCTTAAAATTTTGATATATTCCACTTTTTTTCTGTGCACATATATGTTATGTGTATTACGGTTTTGTAAAATAATTTCATCCAGCATGCAGGGTTTTCGTAAGCTTTATTTTTGTCTTTATTTTATGTGGTTTTGTTTTGTTTGAATCAAGGTCTCCCTCTGTCACCCAGGATGAGTGCCTGGCATGACCATGGTTCAGGGCGGCCTGGAATTCCTGGACTCAAGCGATCTTCCCGCTTAAGCCTCCCCAGCAGCTGGGGTGACCGGCATGCCCTGCACACCTGGCTAATTTTTTTTATTTTTTTATTTTTAGTAGAGACAAGGTCTCACTATGTTGCCCAGGCTGGTCTCGAATTTCTGGACTCAAGCGATCCTCCTACCTCAGGCTCCCAAAGTGCTGGGATTATAGGCGTGAGCCACTGTGCCTGGCCAGTTTTCTGTAACTTCAAATTCATCTTCTCAAAGAATATTTAAACACTGCCTCATTTTTATTCTGTGGATAAACTCCAGTTAATACATTTTGTTAACATTTTTTATCTTGTAACTGTTCATTTGTTTAGAGACAAGCTGTCCCTCTGTCTTCCAGGCTGGAGTGCAGTGGCGCCAGCTC